CGGAGAAGAATTTTATTTGTTTTTTTACTTGGTGTGATAGTACATAAATATTCTGCCACTTAGACTCACAAGAACTTCTTTTCTCATATTTTAAAGCATCGCCACAATTTAGGTACTCTTGATCAATATACTGGAATATGTGTCAGTTTTGAGAGTTGTTCCACAGCTATCAGTTTTATCAAGACTAATGAGATACAAGTCTTATGGTAAGTAGGTTAAATAATTTCAAGTTTGGAATAAAGCCTGTTTTTAACAATTGACTCCGCAGGCATTTTAAATGTAACCTAGATCAGAAAAAGAGCAGAGTAAAAGCCTTTTGCAGTTCAAAAGATCTTTTGACTTCTAAGCCTTCTAATTCTCTTCCAGAATTAAATTAACTATTCAGTAGAATACACCTAGTGCTCTCAAAGAGAGAGAGCATAAAAACCACAGCTACATGACCCTGCCCCTTGGCAGAAAGCAAGTTTCTCTGAACAACATTATTCTCTCTCACTGTGGTTTATCAAGATAATTCTTTAAAGTAGTGTTAAGTGATTTATTATTGACTCTAAACTTTCACAGCAAAATCATCCTTTAATATGTCCTCTATTGTTTCGCATGCAGTATCAGCTTTGTAATAAATAACTCCCATCTACCATAGTTATAAAAAATTAGTCATGATACTGTATTTTGAAATTCCACAAGGAATCCAGTCCTTATGCAAGCAATTTTATCACCTACAACTTGTTATTGCATATCTCCCAAACCACTTCATTCTAACCTTCAAATACTTCAGTTTTACAGTTTTCGCCAGGCTCTGACCTTCACAGTGGCTCAATGCACAGTAAATGAAGTCAGTGGCATTTGTCTGAATTTATACACACATACATATATAGACACAAAATTGATCACTATTTTTTGATATACACTTTAAAAAAAAAAAGTCACGTTAACAGATCCTTCTGAAAGATTCAGTACAATGAACTTTCTGTATTCAGAAGTGTGAAGGGAGAAAGCTTCTTCTTAATCTGAGAACTTCCAGCTACAGCTGAAGGAAGGCAGAGGGTGCTTGCAGCTTTCTGTCTATTTTTAGTTCCCCAACTTAGAAAAGGCAGTTTCAGTGGGGCTTTCTTGGTCTGATCAATTTTACCTTCTTCCATGGCTAAACAGATTAAGGAGTAAGTCTTCTGCATTCCCACAGAGTAAGTTGCGCTCTTACTATGCTGTAGGAAAAAGAGAAGCATTATAAGAATCAGTCATCCAAAATGGGTCAAAATTTTGAAGATAACAAAAGATTACTGTGCAAATAGTTTTCCTAGGCAAGCTTTCCACAGCAAGCTTTCTGGGCTAATGACATACTAACTGAATACAAGGCCCTTCAGAGTGCTGCAATTCTGTTATTTTGCCCACGCAGACTCAAGGAAATACTATGCAAAGCGTAAGGGGGCTTCTGAATCTTTTCCATAGCTTGTGTTATATTTAGCATTTACTGTCTTCTAGCATAACTATACAGTATATACACTAACCTCTCTACAAAGTTTAAGTATGTAGTTCTTGCACAGATCTCCGAAGGGGAGTCTTTTTGCTGTCTTTTGACAAGTTCCATCTTGATTGCAATATGACAAGAAGAGCTACTGTAGGACATTCTTTTGGGATACCTGAAAGGCACAGCCTTCTCTGTCTTATCTTAGCTGTGCCCTGAAGCAATTTGATTATATTCTTGTCTTTTGTTTCCAGTAGCAGTTTGTAATGGCAGGTGTGCAATTCCTTATCTTCAATGATGAAAATTAACTTCTTAACAAAAAAATTACTTAACAGCAATAAGTGCACCTTGCTCGCTTCTAAGGCAACAATGCTTCAGTACCTAAGCTTGCCAGGGAATGTTAGAAACACTGAAGCAGTGGATTTAGCTGAACTACAGCTTCTCTCACACTACAAGTAAGTTATTTAGAGCTTAATATGTTGTAATCTTGTGATAATTTTCCCTTAGTCTAAAGCTTCTACAGCAGCTCAGTAACTGACTAGACAGTTAAAGTCCACCAAAATAAAAAATACATACAGTGATCTGTGATCTAATACAAAACTCACGGATCATTTATGTTAACGGTGCATAGAAAATAAGCATGTAGTCTTCCATGTTCTATTTAATTCCATTATTGTTTCATTGTGCCTTTTTCAATGCTGAACAGGGTAGTATTTTCACCCTCTGGGACAAGTTAGGGGAAAATAAAATACACCCTGGAATTTATAAATGCAATTAATCCAAGTAGTTCCACTACAAAAAACCCCACCACCCAACCATTATTATGCACACAGACGGTACTTTAGCTTGCTAAGTCACGAGGATTTAAACAGACTGTTTAAAACTGAACACATGCCTGAATGCTTTATATATTCACTGGTGGAGCAGGGTATCTGACTACATGAAAGTAAACATTAATCAGGGACTGAAGCCAGGAAACTGACAAAACTCTCACATATCCAATCTGCAAAACGTATTTGCCTCATTACATACCATACACGCTGCTGTATCCTGGCAACTGATAACCTCAATCTCAATGGGCTGCTCTCCCACACTTTTAAATTTTTCCAGCACCTCATTCACTCCGAGCCACTTACAATCCACACCGCCAACTGAAACAATGTAGTCACCTTCTTTTAGGCCCATTGACTGTCAAAAAATTTTGCGCAGGTTATTATCTGGAATTATGAAGATGCATAAAATGCTTCTGTCATCATACAGTATCTGCCCTAAAGGCATTTCCTTCTTAGATGCTAGAAAACCGTTGTCTAGCCAGACATGTGGAACAAAAGTGCATATGTAACATAGAAACGTGCAACTTTTTCAAGCACACAAATTACCTATTTGGGTTACTATTGATAAATGTGATTCTGGCATACTCAGATGTTGGCTCTTTTTACATCCTTTTCACTTTTCTCCCTAAGTAAATGAAACATGGTTTTTGCTACCCCGTTGTCCCCCATGAGATATTTTCTCCCATTTTGACTTCCATTTCTTCAGTATTTTTACTTGTACTTCTGTGGTTGCTTCTGCCTTTCCTATACCTAAACTGCTCATTACTGCGTGTTGCTTTATCCCTTTGTTTTTCCCCCAAAAGAACAACATAGTAGAAACCAATAATACGTTCTTTCCCCTCTTTTTCCTTGGGCACATGCTACCTTGCCTTCCTGAGCCTCATCTTTATTGTTGTTGCTAAGTTCTAAAGCCTTTATCCCTTCCAACTTCCTGAATTAGTTCAGGAATAACATTTGCTTTTATTATTTTGGACTTTTTATCTATTAAGTGTGGACAGAGGAAGAAATCAACTCTAGTTTAATGTGATGTCAGGGATACAGATACTCTTAACATCTAAGCTGTATACAGCACTGAAAATGTGTTCAGATTATATGAACTGACTATACTGATGTATAGTAGAATTCAATAAATACTCCATACACGAGTATGAATAAGCCAGAGTTACACTTAAAGTATTGTAATGCTAGAGTTTGGAGATAAATTGTTAATATTGGACCGATGTACTTACTGCTGCAGAACAAACTGGATCAAGACAATAAATCTGTACCGGTGAACCTCCTTTAAGACTGAATCCTAGCTCTCCTGCTTCATGGTGGATGTGAATGGTACGTGGAGCCGTCCATCTCTGCTTGGCTGAGAACACTGTCAGTGGGCCCTGGAGGTGACATAGCAGCAGGCAGGTTACGGTTTACTGTCATTCCTAAGTAAGCGTTTCTATTTTTCTAAGTTATAATGCTTTAAGTTCATCTTATGTAGGTTTTACTCAGGTTAACTTCCAGCAACTTCCATTGAAATGGAACAGTGAGACTTATCCTAGAAGTTTAAGGTGTCCCTTGAAGTGCTCAGTCCTACTTCATGACTCTTCAGGTGATACTTCAAACAGAGCGGGATGAGAGCAACTGCCGAGTTGTTCTGAGATCTCTGTTAACCTGTGCAGAATGTTTTGGCTGCAGTAGGCTCTAAGGTCCTATATTACTCCGTTTTGGAGGAGATAAATTAACTCATGAAACATTGCATATTCTGATCCTAACTGCAACTCCCAGTCCCCTCTGCCCACCGATACACACAGAGCCACCGGAAAGACTGGCTTTGTAGCATGCAACATCACACATTCTGCATGCTCATCTCCAAGCACTACATGTTTCTCCCCACCTTTAAGGTGTACGCAATTATCCATTGAAACTTCATGGGACTTTTATAAAGGTGTTCAAGAATTAATGCTCTGCAAAGCCATATACAAATGGTACTTCTTTTCTTTGCTAGTCTCAAGTTGACTTATACCTCTGAAGCTAGGAGTGATATCTCCAATAACTTCTGAAAAAAAAAGCCAGTTACTACAGGATCATTTTTTCAGACTATAATACTTATGTCCCTTCCCTCACGTTAGGGTGAATTTATACTTGCTGGCAAAATGACAGAGGTTGGTCAGCATTAGCATGTTACATACCAGCCTGTGAAAGAAGTCTTTAACTTTCACCTTGGAAAACTGAGGCATGATTGTTTCTATTTTGTGCTCCGTTTTAGCTAAAACAAAAAGAAAAACAAATTCATTTTCTCTCATGTATCAGTTAAAAGGCATACAAATTATCTTTCTTGCACTCCAAGCTAGATAGAAATTTCTCCTAAATTCTTACCAGGCTGTGGAAAACCTCATTTTTGTGGAAACATGCAAGACAAGTATCTGAACTGGCTTAAAAAAAAAATCTTCAGAGCTCATAGTATCAATACAGAAAACTGAAAACAATCTATCTGAACAAAACTATGCTATTCTTCTCTTTAGTTTATTTTTCTTTGAAAAATATTTGAAACCAGCGCTCATTCTTTCCCACTACTCCCAAAGAGGAAAGAGCTGGATGAGCTGGACTAAGGTAGGAAGAACCAATAGCAGTCAAAGTGAGGTAACAACCTAGACCAATGTAAGAGTTGTGCTACAAGAAACAGTTACTAGTTTTCCACCCTATGATTTTAGCTTTTGAAGTTTCCCCATTTTTTCTAGCTTACAAGATAGTCACCAAAAAAAAGCTGAATTCTAAACAATAGCCATCATTACCTACCCCAGAAAATTATGTGGCTAGAGACCAAAACACTGTAAAGCAGCTGTAACAAAATTAATTTATCTGTGATTGAGGAAACATGTAAGGAATCTGAACTCAAGGGTACAGTATATAACCTGTACATTATTTATATTATGTATGGATAAATATTATATATGTATAAATATAGATAAAATGAAGGCATATCCCCATGAAAACATATACATGTACGGTTAGATACCCTTTATTTCTAGCTGTGTGTACTTACGAAGGATATCTGGAGCCTGGATTAGACTGAGAAAGTCATCTTCTGTCTCTTGCTGAGCATATTTGAGAAGTGAGCGCTTATGTGCAGCTGTCAGAACCTCCTGAAGAACATCAATGTTTCTAAGCTTTTTGCACAGTCCGCAGACTCTTAGGGCTTCTTCATGGTGAACAATGGCTTTGCGTAAATGTGCTTTCCCTGCAAAAAGTTAGAAACTGTTGGTTGTCCCCCACAGACAATAAATACAAGGTAATTTTCAAATTGTATCTAGTAGCTGTGTGAAAATGGCAGTTACCTAATTGTCTTCTCTGAACTTTGTCCTTTAAAACGGTGAGCACCATCAGTCCTTCAGGCATGTAGTCATACAACTGGGAGAATGCTTTCTCCTGCTGATCTTCATCATCACCAGACTGCACTATAATAATTGGTATAGAACATTAACCATTACACATCTCTTGGTGCCCTGTTCCTTTAGGAATACGTTGTTGTATAATTATTACTACCTTTTCTCCAAATGCAGTCAAGTATTTTTACACACATATACTGATGGGAATTTCAAGTTTTTAGGACTTTTATCATCTGCAGTATGCACATAATACTTATATGGCAGAACATATAAACAAAGAATTGAACAATGTAGTAGCATATAACAGATACAGTATTTCTTTTGTTTCTGCAAAAGTTCAATAAATGAACTTTCACATTCTACTATAACGGACAAAAAGCATGGCCTCATATCTGAACGTGAAAATGGCCACAGATTACCATATATTGAAATCCCAAATTTTCTGGCTGTCAGTCTTATTCATAGACCCAAATTGTAACTGTTTATGTGTTTATTATTGTCATTTATATGAACATACAGAAAACGTACAACTCTTACATTCATGGTCACACAGAATGGTGGCAATGAAGTAATGTGCCAGAGCTTTGTAATGGTCTGACTTTATTTGTGCCAGTTTAGACCAGGAATAGGGGATATTCTCTTTCACTGGTTCCTGATTCATTGCAGTGTTAACCAGCATGTAAACCTCTCCCACCTAAAATAAAGCACAGAATCAAAGTATGAGAATTTAACATCAGTTATTAGGAACTCAAGTAAGAGATCTTATATTCAGCCTTAAGATAACTTCACGTGCATCACATCAAAAGGGGGGGGGGGAAATGGTTAGGAAGGGTTGGAAATAAGTTTTGAGAAAATTTGAAATTCCATCTCTGATTTTTCCCTTACAAGAAAAGTAAATCAGTTTTCTACAAGACAGGCTTCAGGATTTAATAACACCACTGTATAATAAACGGGTTTTAATTTACAAATACATTTCATTGGGTTAATTCAGTTGAGAAAAAAGGTGAAGGATGTTACTCATACAGTAGATTTGTGCTTCACTTCTGAAACCATAGAGTCATATCTAGCCTTAAGTGGTGGAGGTCTAGTTAAAACTGGGCTACTATCCTTCAGGCAGAGGAAATAAAATAGTTTTTCAGGCAGTGAATGCTGCCTTAATGGATCCAACAACTCCACCTGGCACAATCAAAAAACCTTTCCCCTGCAGCTGATCAATCCTACAAATAAGTCAGGGTGGCTTTACAGGGTTGGTAGGAAAGGTTTTGCCCACTTATCTGGTATGGAACCAATTATATAACTGCTACTCTGAAACTGCTCAGAAAGCATATTCGTATCTTGTTGGCATACACAATTTTTGATATGAACAACCTCAGTCAAGTATTAATGCTACCTTCTGAGGCACATACTGCCTCTCCATTTTTCAGGCAAGTCCCAAGACAGCTCTGCAGCTACCAATCTGACTCTGCTCTGGAGGGTCCTTCCCCCAGTTACAATTTAGTTATTCTTTTGGACTTAAGCGTTTTAGGTTTGCATAACCTCCAGCTGCTGAGAAATAACAGACAGGTTGTGTTCAATACTTAACAGAGAACTACACAAACAACCCTGTCCTTTTGTGTGTTGGTCTGTGGACAAGATTTATACCATTTGAAAGAGCAGTATGATAAATAGCTTGTAAAAACCTTCGGCCAGTTCACTGTCCAAGTGTTCCAGCATGTTTCTTCATGAATTAAAAACAAATCATACCAGTTCTAAGATAATGTTATTTAAATTGCAGGTATTCATGTTTTAATCTTCATAAAGGTTGTGATTCTCATTGCAGCTCATGAGCTGTCCCTTGTTACTTTTGGTTTTCAGTAATGGTTGTTAACATTTAGGTTTAATAAATTCTGCAAATATTACTAGAGGCTGTAGCTAGGAACACAGCACCATAAACAGTTATTTTAAAGACTAAATTTAAAGTCTCCGTATTTTACCTTGGCAACTTCCTGTGTCATTTTCACTAGCGTGAAAAACTCATTGCGTATTCCAGGAAGACCGATCTGCTCAAAAACACACTCTTGAGCTTGTGCAAGCATCATTTTCACTAGTACGTTCAGCATAGCTGGGCTCATATCGTAACTTGGTGTGTGAGTAAAGGTCTCCTTTAAGTAGCTTAGGACTCCTGAAAGTACAGAATGGTTTTGTCAGCATTACAAAGAGAGAAACAAGTGAACTTAATTCTAGCACGTGCCATAATAATTAAGATCGAAAGCATGCTTTATAGTATTGCACTGTAACAATCTGAGGGGCTTCTTAGTACACATGAAATTAAACTAACATACAGATTTTGCTTTGCATTCCTATCAAACATCTCCAGGCACAGTTCTCAAAATTACAACTCAGAGGAACAACAGAAGGTGCAAGTTTTAAGGGCAATACCTTCAGATCTGCTTGTAAGAGTTCTTGTGGCTGACCACAAAGCTGTGCCAAACAATGTGACTTGTACATGGGAGTCTTAGGCTAGTGCTTATACATAGGACAAACAAGAAAAAGAAATTACGCAACTATAAGGAGGTGACAGTAGAACCCTTGGATGGAAGGAAAAAACCACAAACATACAAACTTAATTAATTATGAACCTCCTTTTCAGATGCTGCTAAGTGCATTATGAAAGCTCAGTTCCATCCCTGTAGGTAAACTAGAATAGTATATTTAATAGGATAAAATTAGGTTCTGCTCTAGACATTTGGTTTCACCAACATATTAATCATTTCTATCAGTTATCAAATTAAAAACAAATACTAACTGTAGTACAAATATTAAGTAACAGTTTCACAGATGAAAACATAACCTTCAGCATGCACGTCATCCAACTGGTTTAGTGAGTTCTACTAGCCTGCTAATTGCTGATAATACTACAAAAGCGTAACGATAAGACCTCTCTGCTTTTTAAGTGTCACAGCTTCTGTAATCTTACTTCTTGCCGCTACATTCAGTTCTGGCCATGGTGTACTGCATTGTCCTACTACTAGTTTCTGAGATTTTTCACGTTACACTTGTTTCTTTTAACTTATTAATATGCCCTTACACAGATTTGAATTGTGGCCATTTTTGCACCAAAAAAAAAAAAAACCAAAAACCAACCAGTCCCAAACTTGCCAGGCACACCCTAAGTACTAATGGAATGCCCAACTGAAAGGAACTGAAATTATGGGGAGGAGGGAATTTCTTTTTTCATTCTCTACGTATTTTTGCTTATGCGGTAAGCATATACACACCAAGAGCTTTGTTGCACAGAGTTTATCCTCAACATTGTCCACTCGGCACAGAGAAACTGTTAATACATGTTCTGTATCATGTCTCTACCAACATAACGAGCAGTGTTACGGAGCCATGCACAGGTACAATGAAATGCCTCCTGAGCACATTGCTTTGGGGCCCTGCAAAGGTACTGTGGTAGCAAATGATGCATTTAGATTTGTGAATTAATTCTATTCTGCAAATACTTTGAAGTGAAAAGCAGTGAGTTTTTATTTGCAAAATGGAAGGAACAGCAGCAAAATGGAGAAATTTCTCAAGTATCGAAATTTTTTTAGATGAAACAAAAGGTTGAAAACCAAATTTATTCAATAAGTGCATGAAAAAATACTATCAAATTTTTTTTATAGCTGTTTATTCAAAAGAGGGGGTTTATGACAATCCAACTCTGTGGTCCACAGTTTGTAGCTGATAAAGTTGCCCATACAATGGAAACCAATAGCCACAGATTGTTAGTGCAGAGATGAATCTTACAGTACATATTAATTACATAGGTCTTGTCTTTAAGCATTATGTGTAGCACAGATGACATTTACAAAAAAAATGAGAAAATTATTTGGAAAAAAAAAAAAAACCCACCACCAAAAGCTTCTATAACATGTTAGTTCAAGGGATGATTCCCTTTATTAGAATTGGTATTCTTCTTCGCTTGAGACAGAGATTGATTATTTTGAACCTGTTTGCCTTTGGAATCTATGGAAAATATGCAGTCAACTTCCAATGAATTGCAAATTTCACCAGAGAAAACAGTAAGATTAATTTTGAAAAGACCTTGTGGAAAACCAGGTTAAGCCCTTTATCAAGCCCTTAAATTGTTTCTTGTACAGATTTTACACCAATGTAGTATCACTGAGGTAAAAGCAGCTGTGTTGGTGAAACAAAGAACAAACAATGAAGCAGCTAATGTTAGGGCTATTACTCGGACATTTGAACTATAGTTCGTTAATCATTAACCACAGTATTCACTGTCTTTATCTGAGTGTTCAGACTACAGTTCCAGGTTTTGAATTAAAGCTTCAACTCATCTCTTTGCTAGACTGCTTGGATTTCCCTATTCCTCCTTTTTAGTGTAATGAAGTCAGTGGAAAATGCAGAAATCTGCAGCATGAGATTAGGAACATTTGCATAAACACCTTCCCGATATTTTTAAATTTGTACCTGCAGCTCTCTGAAAAGCATCAACAGCACTTTCAAGTCCAGCTTGGGTCTGACGATTGCATCTTGTTCCAACCTGGGTGTAGAGGGCTCCAATGTTAAACAAAATACTAGCTTTTTCAAGCAACAGATTTTGCTGACACACTGGGACACCCGTAAAGGAATCATACCTTAGGAAACAAATATTAAAGTGCTAAGATTAGCAGAGTACATTGGAATCAAAGTATCTGTTGTTTCAAAGAACAGTGGAATTCTTAATAATTGTTCTGCTATAGTGAAAACGAAGGTGAACAGAAATACCATTATGTACTGTGAGGACAGTCTAAGTGCTGCAAGCCAGAAAAAGGCTTTATTTGAGGCTGTTTTCAGGAGGTTTTACAGCAGTGCCTCCATAAGCATGTTGTATTTAACACAAAAGTGCCTAGAAAACACCACAGAGCCTGAGAGTATGCTGGGGAAGTATCCGTATGTGCTGGTATGTTCTTGTGCTTAGATGCTGCCATAGATCATAGATCTGACAATTGGCATGGTCAGATCCTCTATAGCTTGTATTTTAAAGTTTCTTCTTTCAATTATGACTAGAAATTTAACAGTTCCTCTTGGCTGCATAGTAGTCACATATTTTCATCATAAAAATGAAAATTCTGAATTCAGAGTCAAACTTTGCTTATAGATGTAGTAAACACCCCACTATGATAAATTAAGTCACTCCTCCTCTCTTCTGGCCCAAGTGATCTTCTTAACAAACTGAAGGACGGGAATTAAGGTCTGACCAGGAAACATCTGCAATTGTCAAAAATGACAAAATCTCCCTTTTCCCTTGTGCTAACCTGTAGCCCAAGTCATAATCTACACAACAGCTTCACTCTAAGCATGAAAAGGGTGTACTGTGTTCAGGTTTACTCTTAACACTAAAAAAAGATTTACAACACACATTGCGGGGGGGGAAGAAACACAGTTACATGCTTCAATTTAAACAGAAGACAGTTAATGATTAATAGTGTTCTAAAAAAAAAAAAAAAAGACAAAAGACAAACACAAACGACACACTTACCACGTAAATAAAACTCCCATGTGCCTGGTGGGTGGGAAAAATCTGTTTTCTACATAACCAAGTTGAAGGAAATAACTTATCAACATCTCAATGCCAGCTTCATCTCGGCTAGGAGTGCGGCAAGCCTTAAAATACAATAGATTAAAATAAAGTGTATTCTGTTGAGTTAGAGAACAAAAACTGAAACACCAAGGATAAAGTTCTGCTTCCTTTGGTCTTCTGCATATCATAGAAATGTGTGGAATCTGAGAACAGTAAGCTTAAGGCCATATGGATGCATTCCAAATAAAAGTTTTTCAGCTGCTAACCTTTAAGGAAGCAAAGAGGATCTGTTTGGCAAGTCTCAAGAGTTAATTAAATAAAGATTGTAGGTATTTTATGAAAGCTACAAAGAAAGTTTATGCTTCTAGTATAATACAGGAAACAACAGTTAGAAATAACCATCATTCTACTACAGTCTTCGCCAGATGCATTCACTTCAACATTCTTCCTGCTAAATTTAAAATACTTTTAAGTAAGAAAAGTAGGTAAGACAAATCTTAGATTTACAAAATTTACAAAATTGTGTCAATAGCTCAATCACTTTGCATAACCTCATCCTTTTCTTCACTTCTTCTTTACTCAGATTGTAAAGCTCTTGGACAATGGAGATTCATGTTCCATATCTCAGAAACAAAGTCAGTAAGAATATGGTAAGTTCTAAGTAATAGTGGCATATTCTGATTCTAGACAAATTTTATTTACAACTGTAGATTAAAAGAACTCATGGCACGCCATACTTGAACTTACTTGTCTCAGATCCATGAGATCTGCTATTTCATCTTCATACTCAGAGCTGTCTTCACTATAGTGTTCCAGAATAAAATCCTAAAAAAAAAAAAAGTAAAAAATTGGAGTATCTAAAATTAACCTAAACCATTCATTATTTTTTTCTGCAGTCGCAAACAGTACAAAATTGGTTTAGTTGTGATTTGCATGTTGTCTACTCCTTTCCAGTAAATAGTATAGTAACATATAGCTGTGAGACTACAAAAAGACAATGGAACTAATGATTTGATTAGATATCCAAGAAATCTCAGTCTGGTGTAAAGGAACCAAACACACATCAACTCCACTGGGTTTTAAAAAAACAACACTTAGTGGTTTTGAAAGGGACAAATCAACCCTGTTAGCTAAAATAACAAGGGAATCAAGTGACCATAAAAACTTGTTAACAGAAAGAGACTGCCAAATTCTTGTCAGCTATATTAGTGCAATTCCACTTAAATTAACAAAGCTGCAATGGCATAAAGTGGTACTATAATCTGACCATGGGGATTAATCTACGGAAGTAAAAGCAGAGACAAATGCTATATAACCACGCTATATAACATGGTTTACCTTGAGATAAAACATACATTGCACAATACACACTAGTCAAAAAATACAGCAGGAGGCTCAAATAGCCAGCAAAGTATATTAGCCAACAAACAAGCAGTGTTAATGCTGCAACACTGCTTCCCAATTGAGCTAGCTTGGTTAGCGCAAGTTGGAGCATCACTTCATTACGCCAAGTAAAACCTTCGTTACTCCTTCCTTTCATGCTCAGAGTAGTAATAAATACTCTTATTGGAACCAAAAACTGTAGAAGAATTTTTTTGTACTCTTTGTTTTAACTCTACTGTCTCTAACGCGGGATTTCTTATAACATCTTCTGACTCCTTTTCCTAGTTAGATATTAGCAATGACCCAAATAATTGGTGGTTAATTGTTGAACACGTTGTGATCTCAGTTTTAAGGCAAATGAAACAAAAAATAATTTGTACGTAAATTACTTCTGCTTCTTTAAAGAAATCTGAAGTGGAAGTTATTTCTGTTAACTATTCATTCTGAAATGCGTCTCTGAAATTTACCTTGAGGGGGAGTGTAAAGTCTACTTCTTTGGTTTCCTTCAGGCCAAGAGGGACCAAGGGAATGCTGAAAGTCTTTCTATGGAAAAAACCAAAAAAGATTCAGAAATGTTTGTTTTTCTGTTGATAATTACTTTTGTTTCATTCGATGACAGAAAGTTAGTATGCCGATGGGTGTTCAGGTAAAAGGTACGTATTTATAACAGTTCATTCCTGCCCAAGAAAGTCTGCTTAATGGCCTATGACTCCTCAAGAAGAGAGTGAGCAAAATTACTTGCCTGTGCTTTTTTTTTCATCTGAGCCTGTTTTTCCTTCAAGGAAAGAGAAGGAGACTCGAAGGCTGGCTTACTGCAATTTAGCTCAACCTTCATATACCTACACAAGTTATATGAGCAGAAGACAGCTTTGCACAGCTGCTAAATCTGCCACGGTAAGAGCTATGATAATCATCAACAGTTATTATCAGTATTTTACATGCTACCAATGGTTTCATATGTAGAAGTGATGTGTGTCTTTAACAGTCAAAGGTCTAAGACTAGGAAGTCTGAGAACTGCTTAGTTTGTAGAAAATGCTAGGTGCTAAGCTCTAAACAAGTAGACCTCTAAAATATCAAAGGGCAATAAGGATGAGAACTGTGATTTTAAAAAAAAAAATCTTATCCTCAAGAGAACACACATCTGTATCACAGACTTAAACCCAGTTCATATTAGTAAACAACACTAGCTGATAAGACTATTAAGAATTAAAGAGCACCATTTATCCCTCAAAAACTACATAAAATGCTCTTCCACTAAGCACATTACCCAATTATAAAAAAAGAAAGATCCAAATTGCTTCCAGATACACAGTTTGTTGAGTAGGTTTAACAGATCAGTATTGGGCAGTGATAAGGTTTATCTGATATTTTCCTTTTTCCTGAAAACAACTCTTAGACCATTCCATTACCAACTACAAAATCCCATGGGTGTGATCCACTTATGGTCTTATCAGCAAAATCAATTTCTTACTGGTGAAAATTCCATCTCAGGAAGGTGGGAGTAGGAGTGCAGCTTCCCCAGCAGAGGAAGAGTCCTTAAACTGGTTGGCACAATCCAGAAAGCGGCTCTGCTAGCTTGAAAAGGACTTCCATGATACAGAGCCAAAACACCACTGCAGGTAACACAAGTGATCCGATTTCTGATGAGGCTTTTTGAAGAAACTACAACTCTTTTATGACAGGTTATGTCAAGCTTTTTTCCCAAAAAGGAAGTGAGACACATACAAAAGAAATCCTAGCTTACTGATTTAATGAATTCTAGTACCACCCACAGTCCCTGTAGACACGGGCATTTGTCATTCAAAGGAACTGAATTTCTATTTTTTAAGGTTTCTAAGGTGTCACACCCATACAGTCAACATCATAGGGGCATTGAACAGTTAGGGAGGTGATCCTAGATTTCCAGAACTGAGCAGAAATAGTGTCATGCTTCTCAATCCAGCTGAGATGTGTGCAAGTACTGGGAAGGTCAACCCTTCAGATTGGTGCAACACAATACAATGTAACTTAGTAATGTGGGTGTGACCTCATGTTGATGACCATATGCACAATAGATTCAGAGAGCAACAATTAATAGCTATTTGTTATTAAAGGCTGGAGAGCAGTTACAGACAGAGTGAATTATTTTAGCTGATGGGACATAAAAAAAACATTTAGAGCTTAGAATGAACAGCACCAGAAAGGTAAAACACCACTCAAAACAGACTGGGGAAATAGGATCAGGACAGAATAAAAAGCATACCACTGTCCAGCTTCAAGGCTTCTACCTGCCTTAGGGCCTGACCTACTGCTCATGCTTCACTGCAAATCCAAATATCTCGAATATTCTTTAGCTAGAAGAAGGTATAGTACTCCTGGAGTCTTGCTCTCATTCCCACAGCCATAACTTTCATACTGCTCTCCATGCTCACATGCATCTATGAAGACTAGTAAAAACTTGAACTAAAAATATTTTTGCATCAAATAGTTGTCAAGTTTGACACAGGGGGTGGAGGGCAGAAACTCGAGCACAAGTTGTTTTTTGAGAAAAATGAAACATAGATATTTTGCACCAGGTCAGCATTCAGTTGAAAGATAGCCCCTGGAAATATGCTTAGTCCCTCTACATTAAGAACTCCTTGTAGTCCACCTGGAAGTTAACACCTAACTGAGAATAATGCCAAGAGGGACCCAAAACTATACCCCCCCATACAAAGCGCTTCAATTTATGTCTTGAGCTGATTACGTTAATCGAATAGTAGATGTTTAGTTTTAGAAGCAACATGACATCCAACTGATACAGAAATCATTCAGTATTCAGGCAATGAATAATCTTTAACTTTGAAGTTTTCTCTTTGAGGAATCCATTGCAAATTCAAGTTCAGTGTGCTCTCTGAAGCTGGAAAAATATCTTGGAACAATTCCAACTTCATGTACTAAAAATTTCTCTGGTTTAGCTAGCTAATTTATGGATTTCATCACAGAAGTGCACACCTTAAAGATTTCTTCAAGTCTGCTCTGAGCTGCAAATGAGTGTTGGACTTCTGTTCTCAAATGCAGCACATACAACAGTCCTCTGTTTAGCTGGAGAACAGATATTATATCGCTAGGTTTGCTCGCTCCTGAAAGTACTGAATCAATTAGCCATTCTAGTCCTGGAAATTCTGCTAGGTGCTGTGTGTCTCCCCATAAAGCCCCAGGAGCTTTCAATTCTCACAATACTCTCCTCCACGAAGGAACTCCGTATCTAAGGATCACTGGTACACACCTTTCCCAAGTGAAAGACAAATATGCAGACTAACCCTTAGTAAACAAATCCACCATCAAATATGTTCTCTTCCTATGAAGCTTTCTGTTCTTTCACGTAATTATTGTCCAGCATTCACATTCACCTAGAAACAATTTTGTTTCCAGTGGTAAACAGAAGATCTGTTAATAAGTGAGTAACTTAGCTTTATACTTACTCTGTATTCTGATAAACTTCTACTGAGATATTAAGTCCTTCCAATTCCTCCTTTAAGATTTGCAGGTCTGAGTTTACAAAACTCAGTTCCAGTAGTACCTGCTCTCGTACTTTGTTGTTAGTGGTTGCTCTGCAGAGAGAGAGAGATAATTTTTTTTGTTGCTAAGGAAAAGGTTCTGTACCTAAGCTTGGTTAACCCCCTTGCTAGCGTTCTCAGCATTTTTAAGATTTTTTTTTTTTTTTTTTTTTTTTTTTTTTTTTTTTGTCTCCTTAAGAGATGATACAAGACCTCATGTTTCAGGTTTTATTAGGTTTTTCTGTCAAGAGAGAGCCTGGGATAGTTTCCAGATAACAGCACACAGACACGTAGAAGGTTTGCTATGTGCTAAATTTTTTTGTGATAAAGGGTTAGGCTTATTTTCAGATACATTCATCAACAAAACTAAAGCATCTTAAACAGAATCACTATCACATTTTAGGATTATGTGATCTTCTCCCAGAAGACGATATGAGGGTGAAGGGTGAGGGAAGCCAGAGATATTTTTTTCAAAAGAGACTTCCCCACTTTATAAATTGAATAATGATCTGTTGAGACTTCTGATCTTAAGAATAAAAGAAAACAACCTTCCCATAAAACTGTTACTACAGAACGTTTTACAACCAAATATACAGGTAGAAAGATATTTCTTTTTAATACAATACAATTTTCTCTATTATTTTATTTTGGCAGGTGCAAATAGGATTTTTTTGTTTGCTTGTTTCCTTTGCCATTTATATATTTACACGACAACATCTTGAACTGCTAGCGCAATGGACGTTAGTATTTAGCTGCCACAGAGCATTTTTGTGTGATTTCTTATTTGTCTGTTTCAGGATATTATATCACTATTTCTAACCCAATTCTCCATACAGTATTACTGTTTTCAAGAGACTTAAACTGTTACCTACAAGCACAAGTATGAGTTTAAGATAAAAGGCCTTGATCCATATCCAGGCTTAAGACACTATACCCCTATATTAAAGAGTCCAAATCATTAGACAATAACAAACTTACTTTAAGTTTGCAGCTTTTACCTTTATTTTAAGATAAGATTCACCCTCAAAAATGTTTACAAACAAACCCTCATACATCTAGGCTCCCTTTGGAGCAATCCTCCAGTTTTATAGAGCAGCCTGGTGAAGAACTAGAAGGCTAAAATTCTAAGCTTCATATTATAAATGTGTTATCTGTGAGTTCTCTGTGCTGTACTTTATTGAATATCTGAGATTACTTAGATTAAGAAAGGTTAACATCTGCTGCCTGCATAAACCAAACTGGACACAAATATAGGGTGGAGTGGATCTTCCTTGATAAAGGTGGCACAACCACCAGTTATGTGTGACTTTTGATGCTAGCAGCAATTTAATTACAATGTTTTTAAGGCTCCATTTTTGGCCTAGTTTACCATCCTCCACAGGAGGGATTCTAATATCCTCTCAGAACTTCCAAAAGAAGAGATATTGAAAAGGAGAGGGTGACTTTCAGAAGTTCTAAAAACAAGTGTCTTTGCAACAAATGGATCAATGGAACAAATGCAACAAATAAATGGATCATTTGTTTCAAGCCTAGCATTTACTTTCAGCCAAAAGTAAAGAAACCAGCATTTCCAGTTTTTTCTCAAGTCCTATCGCAGGAGGCTCCTTGTGGACAGCAGTTGGCTTGCTTCTTTTAGAACCTGATGAAATGCAAATAGAATCTGAAAACATAATGCTCATTTATTTAGGTTTTTCCTTAGGAGACTGTAAATAGATCTACTCATGTGAACTATCAGGTTACTTTTAAAATTGCTTCCTTCAAAGAGCTAGCAAGTTTTCATAGTTTAACAGGTGTAAATTCGTTTTAGAGTTTTAATAACTTAGAAACAAGTCTGATCCTCTACTCTTCAAATAGGCTCCGTTCCCACTCTTGTCAATAGCAACTTCAGTATTTCAGCAGTTAACATTGGTATCAGGAGCCAAACTTTAGGACATCTTTAAGTCAAATGTTAGAGTAACTGGTGTTAACATGAGGTATTACTCATCTCTTAGCCTTTTCTGAAACTCTCCTGAGTTGGCATGCAGAAACATCTACTGAATGATCAGTGTTCAGTTTCAAAATTAGACATGAAAATTTTGCTATGCATACAAAGATAGCAAAAGACCCTAAGTCTTACTCCTTAAGTCAATTACCAGAAAACAAAGCAAAGCATAGTCAGTCACAGAGGCTAAAACTACATAAGCTTTGGCCCTATCACCTCTCTTGCCAAGAGTAGAGATAAAGGCAGGCAAAGGGCAACCTATTAATAAATAGGAAGTTTAAGAAAAGTTAATTTATCCAAGCATTTTCACTTCTCTAAGGGAAGTATATTGACTATTCTGTTCTCAGAGACCCTTTGTTCTTCCAGTTGCAGAGGAACAGACACTATAGGAGACTACTGCAGATGAGCACTGGGGAAATTTTCAGTTCTTCTGTATAACAGAGAGATAGATTGTTGGAAAGCTACAGGACTGTTTGCTAAGCAGTTAATCACAGGATGTAATAGCCTTAAGACAGGGTCAACATGAGGCTACTCCTATGGGGACAGCCACTGTGTCTTAAAGATTTGGTGGACAAAATATAAAGGGCAAAGTCTCTTCCAGTTACCTCAAAACATAGAATTTGGTGGCAACCATAACCCAGCTCAGATTAGATGTGCTAATCCTGCTACTCCTATATCACTACTACATGGAGTAAATAAATGGTCCTTTCCACTGCAGAGCACCAATCTAACAGATCTTGGAGAAAGCAACAGCATAGTGACAATACCTTTATTTGATTTTAAGGTGTAAAAAGGACTCATTACAATATTCAGCAGTATTTGCTTGCCATTATCACTAGCAATAAAGCTGATCAAACAGAGTGACATAAGATAGTCTAATATTCAGCTCATTCGCTACAACATAGCAGCTTTGAAAGTGCACTTTATAGCAGGTAATAACTCTACAGAGCTACAGCATTAAAAAAAAAAAACTCCAGGGAGATTCATAAAGCATCCAGCAGTAATTTATGCAGCATGTTAGAGGAGCAGTTAGACAGACTGGGAAAAAGCCATAGCTAAGAGACTTTTAAAAAAATGTAAAGAAAAATAATTTTGTTGCTCAGGCAAGAGAACTAAGAAGTCATGACACATACCTTAAAAGATTTTCAGCACCAGCTCTCATTCTTACTGCTCTTAAGATCTGTTGGTTTAGGACAGCTCTTTGATTTTGCAGTTTGCTTCGACCAGTCTCAGCAAGAGGATTGCATCCCTAGAATTAAGGAAATGAGTTTTTTTGTTGCTGTTGGAAGAGAGACTGAAAAAGGAGCAACATCGAATTTGAATGAACTTAATAATGGCATGGGTTTTGTATGAATACAAATTAACTACATTGACATCAGTTATGAATGACTGACGGTGTTTCTTTTCTCAAACTTGGTCATTAAAAACAAAAGAGACACCACAACCAAAGCATTTGACATTAAAATCCAGGCAGAAAATACTTGTTTTAAAAGTTTATGTATAGGTGTGTGAGCCAGTCTGTTCTCCCCTAGAAAACTTTTGAAGCTATTTTTCAATTACAACCAAAGATAAGATGGGATATGCAATAATAGAGCCTGACAGGGTAAGATGATGGTTGTACCTTCAGAAACTCAAATTAAGCCCTTAAAAGCAAAGCACAAAATCCAGGATTCACAAGAATGCTCCTGTGTACATGCATACCTTATAGAAGCACAAGACTCAAACTACTGCAACCTGTTTGAGCAGGACTAAGCCATTGTATTCTGGAGAGCACTGATAAGCTAAAACTGTTATAGATTAATAGGACTGCATGTTTGTCTTTTTATTTTATTTTTTTTTTTAGGAAACACAATCTTAACATCTTTTTAAAATAGAAGTTTCACTTCTACTTTTTTTATTCTTTTCCCCACCCCCTCTTCTTCTAAAGTATCAAATGTCTTTGAATATTAATACTCATTTATAGCCAACCAGCACACCCCTGCTTAACTACTGATTCTGAAGCAAATAAGACTACTCTGTTTTAAGCCTTATCCTTAAATGAAGCATGTCTTTTTGACTGGCCTTGCTGGGTATCATTAAAGCTTACCAGGGTTCTACTGGACTGTGCATTACACAAAAAGGAGGCTCAGATCTGTCTGATACAAGTCTTCCCTTAAGGACTCCAGCCATTAAATTATGCACTATTTTGGACCTCTTCCTATTAGTTTTCACTAGAAAAAATTGGGTTTGATATAACATCATTTAAAAGTGTCTCAACAAGCTCTAATTACAAGTGGTCAGGCAATGGCGTACCAGCACAACAAAAGCACGTATTTAAATAGAACATGAAGTTCTAATCATCAATTTGAAGTTCAGTTCGTATTTGGGTTGCCAAGTGAAGGCAAATTGACTTGACAAAAGAGAAATGAGCTGATCAATCCAGATTACACTAGTTCAGCTGAGAAAGCACATAGCCTAATAGGGTTAATTTAAATTCCCTAGTTTGAAAATTTTGTAATAAATAGGTGACATAAATAAGTGACAGGTACAACATGGGCTTGTAGCCAGAAGTTCCTTTCTGCTCTTAACCTGTTTCTTTTTCTAGGCTGCCACCGTTTTTCCTACTTTGCTTTTTCTTCACTTCGTGTTGTATAATCTTTCTGTACTACTGGTATTCAAAGTCTTCTCTCCTTGCATTTATCCATGCCACTTTTCATTTGAACCTGGCCAATTATCTCCTCTTGTTTTTTGAATATATAATTTTCGTCTTGGGCCTTTCATCTCTATATCCCTGTATAGGTCTGTGATGCTTTCTTCCAACTTCTTCCTCAACCACTTAGTCCAAGCATCCTTCCTGAATGTATCCTTGCTTTGCCCTTGCCTTCATTTTCTCTGTAAAGCTGCAGCTTCCTTCCAGAACTCCCTGTCCTTCCTGTGTGCCAAACAAGTTTCATGACATCATTCAAACACTTCTTTACAGCTATACTTCTGGGAAATTTTTCAGGACTTTCAACCACCTGATTCCCAAGCCCATAAAGCTCAGTATAAGTGGTGTGTTTATTTCAGTGGACCTTTGATCAACCTCTAGCCCTGAAATCAAACAAGCTCCCATTGAACAATGAGTGCAAAACTGCAATGATCTTAAACTCCGTGCAAAGAGAAAAAATGGCAGAAATGTTTTGCTGCATTTTAGGACAAGCCACTAATCTCTGTATGAAGCTTTAATGCAAAAACAGCCCTGGGGCCTAAGAAGACAAGGCACTGGCAAACTGAAGCATCCATATCACCTCCAGCGTGCCTGGAAGTACTGCACTTTTGTCTCCTTGACAAAAGGCTTCCTGTGGATAGAGGAGTCTCCTTTCGGGACAGACTCACCTGTTGCAAGCTCATACCTCCCATTTACTTCTCAAGGCCTATAAGGAACTCATATTTTACTTTTTGGAAAACATTGCTTTTTACATCTGCACAGGGGATGGCGCCACTCAGCTAGTTTGTGTTCATTTGTAGCCTTAAACTCCTTATCGTAATCAGGCTGCCAGAAAACTGATGGCTAGAAGTCTGCATAGAGGACAATGCAAATAACCACTATCTGCAGAAAAACACAGGAAATGCACAATCTGGGCAAGACTCCCTTTTGTGTAAAGCACAAATTCTGTGTACTAAAAAGTTATTTAGTAGACGGGTCCAAAAAAGTGCTTCATTTTGTCCCTCCACGCAGAAGATCCTTTTCCCAGACAGCATTTGTACTTGGTTCACATTTGGACAATCCCAAGAACGTTAATGTTCAGTTCATTACAATATCTGGCAGCCAAACTTCCCAGCGGTTTCCACACCTACTGTTTCATTTCTTGTCAACAGGATGCTAGATGCTTCATTTAATTACTGTTTATTTCTTTGCTGAGCCAAGACAACTTGGAGAATAAACTGGATCTTATGCTGGCTTATAAACTATCAGTAAAATTATTAAACAGCAACAAAAGAACAGTTATTACTAAGGAAGTTGCAAAAGTGACCAAAAATGGTGTATGATTTAAGCTTTCATTGCATGCAGTTTTTGGGGAAAAAAAAGAATACACAAGTAAATTGAGTAAGTCTGCTGTGAAGACAATTCAAATAGTAAACTAAGCTTTAGAGCTTTTTTTACCCTCAAAGCACAGCTTCATGAAGAAGTGTTTAAAGAGCTTAAATATTATTATCCTTAGCTCCTGAACCAATAAAAGCTTTTGAAAACCTAAAGTTTACTTAGTTAGTTTATTTCTTCCCACTTGGTTGAATAGCATTGTTGAACTGCAGAATCAGGAAGCTAATACGTTTTTAATATATCGTTATCAGAGGCAAGATCTGGACATGAGTTACAGATTCTTGCCACGTGTTATTTATGTACCTAATCAGGTAACATCTTGAAAGAAACAGACACTGATATTATACAAATAAACATGCTCCTCCTGATGAAGGCTAGCCTGTGCAGGGCTGGCATGTTTGACAGCAATCCTCTCACTAATCAATAGGGCAGGCTGACAGATTCCAATGGGATTGCTGCTGATCTCATTAGAACTAGTGCCTGAGCTTAGGTAGCAGGATATCCCACTGGGGTTTATTTTATTTTTAAGCTTATAAACATTATCACACACACACACTTCATTGGCAAACAGTTGTGCAGTTGTATTATGAACGCCTATGGGATCTCAGTGTGACACTGTCTCTGTCAGACCAGGCACCGCCAGCTCAACAGCAGGAGCTCAAGCAGAGCTAGAGAGAAATATTCTTTAGGATCAGAAATCCAATTGTGATGGACACAAAAGTCATGACTGTTTGCCAAGCAATGAGTAATCACAGTAAGCATCTGAAATTAACATAAATATGATTTATGAAGTAGTGGTTTGAACTTTTAAGATGAGCCACACACTGTCTGAAGGTGACACAGAGTTGAGACTGGGTGTGCCTTCTTACTTAAAATAAAACATTCCTTTCCAGCCAGTGCAACCTGTGCTGCTTGTGAAGCCCAGTAGTGTATGCAAATGGCCATATCCTCCAGATATTTAAATATGTATGTGATTTAACTTAAGCACATAACTTCTTTGGCTGCAATAGCAATTGTAGTAAACAGCATGATCCACACCAACTATTTCTAGAACCGATGCTAAGTCTTGCTGAATTATTATGTTTATTTCCTTACTTTCTTCTGCTACTATAATTAAAGTTTCTCTTCGCATGTTTCTACTAGTTCAGTTCTGAAATTCTAGCTATATACTGCAAGTCTTTCAATAGTAGAAGTCTTATCTGAATTAAAAATAAAGGGGGGGAAAGAGAAGGAACAAGTATTTTACAGTTCTAAGTGCCTGGCCCCAAAGATTAATATAAAATTTTAGAACTCAATATTGTCTTAAATTCCAAATACCTATTTTTCTATACAACATTCCATCTTGTCACACTGCTCACTAAGCAAAATGAAAATTTATATTTCATCAGAGATACCTGTCTCTTGACTAACCAAGTTTCAGATGATTCTTAGTTTCACACGAAGGCCTATTTTCAGTTTTAGGTGTTATGAATTTATATATAATGAGTGGATAAGGATACGGCATGACGGGGGTATGAATCATCACAACATTGTTTCTGTCCCACCAGACAAGTGGTAAGAGAACAAATAGGCAAATAAATATTCCTGTGTCAATGCTAATATTGATGGTTGCCTGGCTACTAATGACTGAAAACAACCACATGAACTAGACCCCAGTGGAAGCACAGGTGTAGCAGGTTGGTAAACTGATACATTAACCACAGCTGGGGGGGAAGCCTCGCAGAAGAAACTCCAAAAGCTAAAGAGGGGAAGGAGAGAGAGTTAATTAGGGAAGTGCTGATTCATGAGCTGGTTACCATACCTATCATCATTTTCAGCCTGGTGCTTCATTTATGAAACTGCTTGTTTTCTGTTTTTAGCCTCTTCCCCTGACAGGGACGACTAATATATACTGTCTTTCTTTCTGAATCATCAGCTTGGTCTACGTGGTAAGTACCTAGCCTCACAGATGGAACCAAAGCTTTAAGAATGGGGAAAAAAAAGTAAGCATCTTCATTAAACTAATGAGAATCTAAAGATATATTAAGCTAGCTGTCTGACCGCTCTGCCTCTATCTAGCACAATGGACTGCTATCCAAAACAATCAAATTGAAGACAGGATGCTTAGTGCTGTACCAACAGATGCTTGGAAAGCTACAGAAAGGGTAACCTTGGAAAAGGAACTATGGCTTTTTACTTATCATTT